GCTGGCTCAAGATGACACAGTTCTGCAGCTCCAGTGTCCCATTACCCCACCCCTCCAGAGGTCCAGCTCCACAGTGCTGGGCACACAGGAGGAATTCAGTTTCCACCATCCCTTGTGGTGCAAGAAGGTGCTGAGCATTGTAATGAAGTCTGACCACCTCACTTCTACACTCATGCCATGGTGAGACTTCAAGCTGAAGTCTTTATTTGAGGCACTCAGAGCTCCAGGACAGGCATTGCTAATTGCTCCGTGATCCAAGCAACAAAGTCTCCATGACTTGGAATGGCCAAGATCAGCAAGCCCAAAGGATCTTTTTGGTTCTACAACCTTCCACACCAGTTTCAGCAAGCAACTCTTGAATTCCCACAGCACCAGATCCTCTAGCAGAGCCATGAGGAAGGACAGGAAAACCTGAACTACTCTTAGCTACCTCCCAGACATCTCCAAGGGCATCCTTTCTATCTTGGTGAGGGGAAAGCAAGGGAGCCTTTGGGTTTAGCTCTTCCTAACTTCCACAGGCACCACCAAAAACCCCTTCATTCTGAGGCCAACTAGGGAAAGCTCTGCTCAGCAACTCCTCAGATTAGCCAAGGAGGAAAACTCATTTCTGAAGCCACAATAAAGAATGCCTGCCTGCTAAAACTCAGAAACTAAGTCTTAGAGGTTTCTTTGAGAGCCTGAATTTTAGGCAACAGCTGGGTCTCATTTACTACCCCAGTTACACAGCCAGGTGGCAGGTGGAAGGAGTTACCCCCATCACAGGACTAACTGGGATGTTAATGCTCAGACTCATGTCTAAGAAACTTAGATTTTAAAGAGCAAGAAAGAAGAAGGAAGCTCCTTCAGAGGGTATTCACAGGCACCAGAACACGAGGAGATAATGGGGAGATTCCCATATCCCTCCCCCGTCAGAGCAACTCAGTGATAGACCAAGAGGAGGTCTGGGAACACACCAGTTCCCAGAACCTCTGCGCGCATGGTGACTCCAGGGTGTCTGCTCAGCCAACAATCTGTCACTGACAGAAAGCTGCATCTAACACTGAGGGGACTTCTAGGATGCATGAAAACAGCTCTGAGGCACCATCCTGCTTCAGCCAGGCCGAGTGCCGAAGGATTAGTGAGTGGTGACTGTAAGTACTACAGCCTCACATTCTTCATAGTGGAGAGCAGTGTCACAGAGACATTTGAATCCAGAACTTACATTAACCTTGCTTGTTTCCAGCCGGAGAGCTGGAATCCACACATGCACGAGGTATCTAGGTCCACTCAAGCAGAGATTACAGAAGTCAAGAGATGCCTGGCACCAGTCCATGAAGTGCTACAGACATCCAGCACGTAACCTGCTCACCAGCAGCATTCCCAGGCGATTCTGGCAGCCCTGGTGTGCAGCAGCCAAAGAAAACCAGGGATGAAGGACTTGCTACAGAGGGGGTTGTCCAGGAGCCAAGAGCTTCTGCCTCCCCAACAGGGCACTTTTTGACTCTAACAGGGAACACTGCAGCCTTGCCAGGGACCAACAGGGAAGATCACAGAATGGTTAGGGTTGAAAGAAGCCTTAAAGACCATCTTGTTACAACTCCCAGCTATGGGCAGGGACACCTTCCACTAGACCAGGTTGGTCCGAACCCCATCCAGCCTGGCCTTGAACACTTCCAGGGATGGGGCAGCCACAGCTTCTCCGGGCAACCTGTGCCAGGGCCTCACCCCCTCACAAGGAAGGATTTCTTCCTAAGACGATCCTCTCCAAGCAGAACTTAGCCAGGTAACTTCTCCTGGTCCTCACCTGGTCTCTGCTTATCCGACACAACTTCACATTTGATGCTTTCCACCTTTAGCAGTCCAGGACACCCAAGCTCTATTAACAACAGCAGCAGCCACCACTCACAGAGCTGTGATCAGGGCCTTGAGACCAGCCAAGAGGGCACATGGGATAACCACAGACTTCAGCTGCCTGGTCTGGGCATCTAGACAGCTAGTTCCAGATTTCTCACACTCCCTCTGGGCCTACAGCCTTCCAGGTACCTCCTAGGAGAGCAAAGATGAACTTCCAGAGTAGAACCAACACTTCTGCATCAGGCATCCAAGAGAGCAGGGTGAACACACAGGGTCCTTATTGCAATATGGCCATGGACACAACACACAGCATTCACAGGAAGCAAGAAAGCTCCTCCAGCTGCCAGAAAAAGCTCTGCCTGCCACCGGGGTGGGAGTGCAGCACCCAGGCAGCCGCCCATCTCACAGCACCCCTCAGGAGCACTGGGACAGACGCTGTCACGCAGATTAGCGGCTGCCTGGAAAATTAAACAGAAGATAGCAGCAAGTGGGGAGGGACCACGTTTGGGGAGGTGTCTGGTGAGGAACAGCAGGGACTGACATTAGGCCCTGTTTGTTTAACATTCCCGTTAACGACCTCGAGAGGAGAGAGAGGCATTCCTGTCCTCCGCATGTCACCGGCCAGGAAGCGGCTGCGAGATCCAGGGGCTCGCAGATAAGATAAAGGGAAAGGCTGAATTTGGGAGCTTCGCCCCACCATATCTGGGGCACAGGGAGCCCTTCTGCCAAGACTCAGGGAGGTGGCGAAGGAGGCACACGGCAGGGGGGGATGGAGGAGTGTCCACAGCGCCAGGATCTGGCAGTGTTATCCGTGCAGTGTGGGAAAATATTCCAGCACACCCTCCTGCGTATGGTGGGACTGAAGGATTCCACTTTACACTAGACGTATTTATCACTCTGTATCAAGGGGAGTTCTGGACAAGAATTTGGGCCCCTAGACCACGCTTGGATGCTGAACACAAGATGCTGAACACAAGGTCACTCCTTGTGCCTCCATTAGTTTCTGCAGTGAGGAACAGCTCCTGGTCAGCCAGAAGGAGCTACCAGAAAAACAAGCGTTCAGAGGGCTCCTGTAGGCTCAGAGTAGCCACCATGAAGCCCAAGCTGTGCTCATCACCCACAGCATTTTTTATGGCAGATCCTGGCAGAGAGAGGGCTTTACAACAGCAATTCCACCAGGGATTGGGACATATCCCCTCCCCAGTCCCAATGTACCACCTCCCAGGCACCCTCAGCCACCTCCAGGGTGGTGGGTCCTTTGCTGCAGCTGTGGGTGCAGGGTGACAGACACACCCAGTGAGGCCACAGACCATCCAGCAGTGTGGATGGGACTGTCCCCCTTCCCCACAAACATGCGGAGGCGGCACAGTGGAGAGCAGGAGCCACTTCCGTTCAACCCCTGCCATTCCCCAGAGATGCCATCTTTAACTCGGTTTTCCAGTCACCAAGCACCATTCCTGGGAGGACCAGCCTCTCCAAAGAGCAAGGATTTCCAGGCTCCCAAAATGCAGCACCTGCTTTGCCAAACCACCATCCAGCAGTGGGGAATGGACCAGCTTTGCCCCAGCACCATGAACTCACCCTACCACCGCCCATGAGGCACCAGCCCAGCTGGAGCAATGCCATGGGATGGGATGCCCCAAGCGGCAGCAACCTCAGGGGGCTTTGCAGGCCAGTGAATAATTGGATCAAGGAGCCGCATTGAGTCTTCTGCGCACGCGTTCACAGCCCGTGAAACCCCCTGTTTCCGAGCCTCCCCACACCGGGAGTGGCACAGGGCCCCAGGTGCTCCGGCTCTCAACCCACCCACACCAGTGCCACCCAGGGAGGCTGGGACATCCCACCAGCAGCATCACATTCACCTCCCATCGCGTCAGCGCATCACCTAAGCCCTGCTCCACGCTGGGGACTGAATTGCTATGGCCACCACCTGCCAATCCATTCCACCCCATTACCCGGGTCCCCCTTGCCGGGATTGAAGCCCAGGGGACACGATGGCCCCAAGTCAGCTGGCGCACAGGGCCAGTCTGGCCCCAGTGGGTGGTGGAGCAAGCCAGGCGCCATGTTGCGGCGGCGCGAGCGCACGGAGGAAAGCGAGGGGAGGGGACTGAGCACCTCCCTGGTCCTGAGGGCCGGGCACGGAGGACTGCAGCAAAACATTACCGATACCAGGCATTTTCCAGAGCCCTCTCCAAGATGGAGGGCAGCTGGAAACCCACTGCGCCAACACCCGCTCAAGGGGTGCAGTGATGACAGCAGCCAGTGGCTCTGACAGCCAAAGGGCAAACGTGGAGGGTTGCAAACTCAGCTCTGGCATGTGGCTATAGACAACTAACCCTTGTTAGCCTTCCCAGCCCTGAGTCCAGCAGCATCTAGGCTCTGGCTTGCAATGGCATCCAGGGGAAGGGGACCACTGGCAGGTCAGCTCGCAGCCCTCCAGCCCAAGCCAGGCTGCCAGCACACAGGCAAGGACTCCATCACTATCGTCCAACTGTGTCCCTTGCAGCTCACACGGGCAGAACAGTGCTAGATCCAGAAGCTGCAGGGACTTGGGAAGAGGGCATTACACCCACAGGCACCGGCTGCAATGGAGTGAGCGGGGACCTTCCAGCCCCCTGCCCTGCAGGGCTACAGGAACACGGGGCTGAGCAAGGAACTCGCCCCACCCGGCTCCGGCCCCTCCTCGGGACGGCCCGGGGGCTCCAGCGCCGACTTCCCGACACCTCCGTACTCCGGCTCCAAGAGCCCGGCCTCGGCTCCTCAGCCCGGGGCATCCTCGGCATCCAGGCTCCGGTCCTCCGACGGCCCGGAGGTCCAGCCCCGACGCCGAGTCCTCTGTTCCGCGATCACGGCGCTGCGCTCCTTCCCGGCTTCCCCGACGCCCCGGTGCCGCTTCCCTGGTCCCCGACGCCGCCGCGCTCCATCCCCGACACCCCAGTCCCGGTTACCCGACGGCGCCGCGTTCCATACCCCGTCCCCCAACACCCTGGCGCTCCACCCCCGCCGCCCCGTCCTGCTCCCGCTGCCGCTCCCAGTTCGCCGCCGCCGTCGCGCCCCAGCTCCGTTGACCCGCTCCGTCCCCGGTCCCCGGCCACCCCGGTGCCACAGTACCGGCGCCGCTCCCGTTTTCCCAGCGCTCCATCCCCGACCCACCGTCCCGTCCTCACCTCCTCCTCGACGTTGCCGCCGCCGTTGGTGTGCTCGGTGTCCTTGTTGAGGTTGCTCATGGTGGGGTGCCGAGGCGGGGGGTGGTGCCGGCTGCTCCGGAGCTCCGCAGGGCCGAGCCGGGGTGCCGGTGAGGTGCCGGTGTGCGGGGGCGGTGCGGGGCGGTGCGGCGCTGCCCTCTCGGTTCACATGCGGCGTCCCGGGACGGCGCCGCTGTTAACGGCCGGGCCGGGCTGGGCTGGGCTGGGCTGGGCCGGGCTGGGCCGGGCGGAGCGGGGCCGAGCGGAGCGCAACGAGCCGCAGCTGCGGGGCCGACGCGCCCCAGCCCCCGCCGCCGCTCCCGCCGCTCCCGGTGCCGCCGCCGCGCACCGAGCAGCGGGGCCGGGA